TAGTTCAGTCTTCTTGGAAATGAAATGTTTAACCACTTGAGATAAAGCAGAAAGGGAGGGTACTTGCCCTCCTTGATTAAGTGGTACTTTACTTTAGATTAGTGAATAGCTTCTAAGAAGGTGCAAATTTTACTCTGTTTTTATTTAATTTCTATGTTGAACCGTTTTTCTAATTTATATTATAAAACTTTCAAATGATCATGAGAAGTGCTTATCATTTGATCTCTATGGCTGAATAATAAATACCTTTTATCTTTCTGATATTGCAGTTGACTCACGTTGACCAGGCAAGCTTCCTGCTGGGTGCCTTTGGAACATCCTTTATTCTTGATGTCCTGCTAAATCAGTAAGTTTTCCTTGAGCTGCACTCACTGTTTTCAGATACACATTGAATCCAGTTTCTTATCCTGCTGTAAAATTTTTTTTCTTAGTATATTTTACTTTGTTTTCTAATATCAGTTAAATACTATATTTAAAACTATTGTATCTACTGACTGTAAGTTATAAAGTCTGGTAAATAACAGAAAATGGGTATCCGCTTGAAATTGAACAACTGTAACAGCTTTAAGAACGTAAAATTGAGGGAAAGATTTACTCCAATATTTTGCATAAAGATATAGATGACCTAAGTTCCTATGAATGACAATAAATTATGAAAATAATACCTTGAGTATTAAAACATCTTTCTTAAGAACAACAGAAAAGGTAAGTTACCCTTTTTGCTCAGTGAGTCAGGGGACTGGTTGCATGATAGTGTGATTCCAAATAATGCCATTAGATGCTTTGATTTGGGAGTTGAGTTTTGTAAGGTTTAAGGTACTGGAATTATTCTGTAAATACTATATAATTTTGGAAATTGTCATTACCTAGAATTTTAGGTTTGGGATAGTAGAATTTTAAGTTTGGGAGTGGCTTTTGATACATCACTGGATTTAATCTCTTCCCTCTGGGTTAGTATCTAAGAAGTCTTACAGGACATTTAGTTGTCTATTCACTTTTTTAAAAAAGCATTAGTATCCTACTTCTTATCCTGGGCAAGCAGGAAGAGACCAGGGCTCTGTCAGCCAGTGTTTCTGAGCTGAGCAGCACTGGACCACAGCTTTGCTGAAATCAGTTATGCAACAACTTAGGAAGAAAGTTTGAGGCCAGGAGGACAGTATGGTAGACCGAGAGTGAGAACTAGAGCCTAGTTTGTCTACAGTGGGGAATCAGCCAGGTGGAAGACTCTGAGTTAATAAAAGAAAGGATGCAAGAGGCAGTTCTTAGAGCTGTACTAACTGGGTAGGTAGCCACTAGCCTCTTGCGGCTGTTTAAATTAAAATTAAATAATTAAAATAAAATAAAAAATTCTGTTTCTTAGTTGCATGAACCGCATTTCAAATGCTCAGTAGCCATGTGTAGTTAGTGGTTACCTTATAGGACAAGGCAGAACATTTCCAACATTGCAGAAAGTTCTGTTGCACAGTGCTGGTTTAGAGATTTCCTTTGAGGAAAGGGCACATGTGCACTATTAAGATTATTGAGCGAGGTCAATCAGTGTTCAGGAGAATTCACTTCTTCCTTTTAGATTTTAGTCTATGTTTAATAGATTAATTTAATAATAAATTTTACTAGTATCCTAATTTTTCTGGAATTTATTTACAAAGTTGTCATCATACCATAGTTATTGTTTTAGTGTTTAAGTTATATATTAGTTTATTTTTTAATTAAGCTGCCTTGTAGGTAGGTACATTTTGTAAGTAGTGCTTCCCTCTCCCCACATTTTTGTTTCACAAACAATTTAAATACTGAAAAGCATGTGTTAGATGGCAGTCTGTTATTTGGGTGATCTAACAATGGGAGTGTTTTGTTCTTTGATCATGCACATTTAAAAAATGTAACATAAGTTGTATTTCTACAATACTCATTAAAATAGTTTCCTTCTTATTTTTAAAATATATGGCTTAGAACATAAATATTAGATGTTTTACACCACACTGTATTTTACCCTAATTTCATAGGGCGTGAATAAGATTGTGTTAATATTATCTGTATCTTATATTCCTGCTTGATGTAAATACCCTAAAATTTACATGTTTGTATGACTCATTTCAGTTTTTCAGCAATTTTAATGTCATAAAGTTTTAAAAAACTCATTATGAAGGAATGCATGCTCCTTTGAAAAATAATGAAAGAGTAGAAAAACAATCTCATGTAATTCTACCACTTAGACACTGATTGCCCTGTTTTAAGTTGTAACCCTCTCTGTGCTCACTTTCCCATACACCCTACTACCTATTCTCCCTTGCTTAATTTTTAAAATATTATCACAATTTAATATAAAGGTTGACTCATGAAATTGCCATTTTTGCAGGTCAAAAATTTGATGACCATCATTGTCATATGGTCAACTAATTCTCTGTATTTTAATTTTTAATTTATTAAAAAATTTTTTAAACTTATTATTTTTTTATCTTTTTCCTCCATCTAGAATTTAAGCTCATTGAGGGCTGAGATGTTTTTTCATTTATTGTTGTATCCTTAGCCCAGAATAGGCACTAAATTCTAGGTTGGGAAGTCATATTGACTTAGAAACTAAAGGCTGGAATAGGCCAGGAGACAGAGGAGATGATGGATGAGGGTGGAGGCTGTCAACTGGGGAAGAGTGAAGCAGCAAAAAAGAAAGAGGGCAAATGTTTGGGGCTGGCTTCTAAAAAAGCTGAGCGTACACATCTAGGTATGATTTGGAAAGTCAGGTTCCTAGGTCTCTATTTCAATGACTCCTTTCCATTCCTTCAAATCATGGTTCTGCTAGATACCCGCTGCCTTGTTTTCTGGTTTCTGACATTTGTAATGCCTTGACTTTCAGTATCCCAAAGAAGAAAGGATATTTATTCATTCTGCCCAAGCCATCTCACTTCCTCTGGAGGAATCCAAGCACTATAGTTTTCTGTTCCTGAAGGGGAGACACATATGGCCATACTTATCAGAGCATGAAGCTTAGAATACTAAGGGTGAAGCAAAATTTCTTTCTAGATACTGGCAAGAACCTCCCTTCTTCTTATTGCAGTACAAAGGATAAAATAATAGCATAAATAGAGATTTCCTGGGCTGAGAAATATGCAAAGTTTTTTGTTTTTGTGTTTTGGCCTGGGATCTATATTAAACATAGATGTCAGGTATCTATTTTCTTTATGCTTTATGGTCTAGGATGATTTGATACAAAGGGTTTTTTTCTTATTTTTATGGAGAATGTTTTTATTTCATGGTTTCACTTTATATATTGTCTAGTGGTTATATTGGTTAAGGAGCAGAAAGATGAAAAATCGATGATGCTCTTTAAGTTTTCCTTCCTTCTTTCCTCCCTCCCTCCCTCGCTCCTTCCCTCCCTCCCTCTGTTCCTTCCTTCCTTTCTTTTATTTCCTCACTCATATGCTTACTAACATTTATTTAATGTAGTTTGTTGATTGTTTTTTTTTACTTTTTCATCTTAAAATGATTTTTTTTATTGAGGTATAGCTGATTTACAATATTATAGTCGTTTCAGGTGTACAACATAGTGATTCAAAACTATACTCCATTTAACGTTATTATAAAATAATGACTACACTCCCTGTGCTGTACAATATATCCTTGTAGATTATTAATTTTATACATAGTCATCTTTATCTCTTAATCCTCTACCCCTATGTTGCCCCTCCCCACTTCTTCCCTAGCCCCACTGGAAACCACTAGTTTGTTCTGTATATCTGGGAGTCTGTTTCTGTTTTGACATATTGATTCATTTATTTTATTTTCTGGTTCCACATATAAATGACAACATAAAGTATTCGTCTTTGTCTGACTTATTTCACTAAGCATAATACCCTCTAGGTCCATCCATGTTGTGGAAAATGCAAAATTTCATCCTTTGTATCTGGTAGGTTGGTTATGTTTCCCAGTGTTATAGAAGTGGCCTTTTGTAGGAGATATCTTATACGTTCCAGCAGGTCTGTTCACCAGAGCTATGTACTCTAGGGGTTCCCCCTATGTGGGCTGTGTGGGTCCTTCTGTTGTGGTGGGTGGACTACTGTGGACGTGCTGGTCGGCATGGCTGGCCCCCTGTTCAGCTGGTTGTCAGGCCCTGCCTTGTGTGGAGGCTGCTGGCCACTGGTTGGTAGGGCTGCGTAATGACAAGGCTGGCTGTGGAACCCCAGCGAGTCCCAGGGCTAGTGCTGGCTCACTGGTGGGTGGAGCTGGATCCTGGGGACTCTGACTGAAGGGCCCTGGGGGTCCCAAAGCTAGTGGGTGGGGCTAGATCCCAGGGCCACTGGCTGAGGTGCCCAAGGTGTCCCAAATCTGGAGTTGACCTGTTGCTGGTCAGGGTCTAGTCCTGGGGTCTCTGGCTGCAGGGTCCAGGGCTCCCAGAGCTGGTGTTGGATCACTGTTGGGTGGGGCCAGTTCCTGATACAGCTGGCTGCAGGGTCCAGGGTATCCCGAAGTTGTGTCTCCCCGCTGAAGAATGGGGTCAGATCCTGGGGCAACTGGCTGAGGGCCCCGAGGTGTCTCAGGGTTGGGGCTGGCCTGCTGGTGAGAGGACTGGGCCCTGCCATGGCAGGCTGCAGGGCTACAGTTGTTTGGGGACAGATGTCCACCTGCTGGTGGGTGAGGCTGGTACCAAGGCTAGAACTGGCTGGCTGATGGGCAGGGCTATAGCCCAGGGGGTTCTGGGATTGGTGCCTGTGCACTGCAGGTGGAGCAGGCTCCCCATGTCTCTAGCTGAAGGACCCTGGGGGGTCCCAGATCTAGTGTTTGCACCCTGGTGTGTGGGGCCACGTCCTGGAATCTCTGATGGATAGGGCTGTATCCAGGATTGGCTATGGGCTCAGCAGGTGTTCAGGCAGCTGGTCTGCTGGTGGTGGGTCTGTGTCCCCTCCCAGCTAGTCGCTTGGCTTTTCTAGTCTCAGTACTGGTGCCTGCAGGCTGGTGAGTGGGGACGGGGCTGGTTCTTGGAGCTAATAAGCTAGAGGGAGGGTTCCAGAATGGTGCCCGCCAGCACCAGTGTCTCCGTGGTAGAACGAGCTCCCCAAAATGGCTGCCGCCCATGTCTCGGTCTCCAGTTTCCTCCTGCCTCTCTGAAACACTTTCCAGTATCAGCAGGTGGGTCTGCCACAGGTTCCTTTCAAATGACTACTTCTGCCCTGAGTCCTAGAGTATGTGAGATTTTGTGTGTACCCTTTAAGAGTGGAGTCTCTATTTCCCACAGCCCTCTGGCTCCCCCAAAAGTAATCCCTGCTGGCCTTTAAAGTCAAACATTCTGGGGGCTCATTTTCCTGGCACTGGACCCTTGGGCTGGGGAGCACAATGTAGGGCTCCAACCCCCCCACCCCTTGGGAAGAATCCCTGCAGTTATAGCTATTCTCCCGTTTGTGGCTCGCCCACCCATTGGTATGGGTCTGGACTCTTTCGCAGTTTTGCCCCTCCTGTCTCGCTGTGGTTCCTTCTTTCTCTCTTCAGCCATAGAAGGTCTTTTCTGATAGGCTCTGGTCTTTCACATTGGTAGTTTCTTGTATATAAATTTATTTTCATTTTTTGGCTGCATTGGGTCTTTGTTGCTAGGTGCGGGCTTTCTCTAGTTGTGGCAAGTGGGAGCTACTCTTCATTGCAGTGTGCAGGCTTCTCATTGCAGTGGTTTCTCTTTGTTGTGGAGCATGGGCTCTAGGCGTGCATGCTTCAGTAGTTGTGGCATGCAGGCTCAGTAGTTGTGGCTTGTGGGCTCTAGAGCACAGGCTCAGTAGTTGTGGCACACGGGCTTAGTTGCTCCGCGGCTTGTGGGATCTTCCCGGATGAGGGCACGAACCCATGTCCCCTGCATTGGCAGGTGGGTTCTTAAAACACTGCACCACCAGGGAAGCCCAGTTTCTTGAAAACAGTTGTCATATTGTTGTGAGAGACCCTGAGAGAAGGTGAGCGCGGGGTCTGCCTACTCCACCATCTCGGGAACTCTTTAACCTAAGCTTTTTTCCTTATGAAGCAATTTATAGGGCTATGGAACAGGTACACTTTTTTGTCTTGTTTGAAACTGGAGACAAATTAAGTAAGTCCTTGTGTAGCTGGATTCCAGTTGTAGGATGGATCCAATAATACATATTTTTAGATTGGAAGGAAGGAAAAGTATCATTATATAATATTCCTTCTGAATGTTCAGTAAACAAGGTTATCTGTAACCAAATTATATACTAATTCAACCTTTAGGTTGTAACTTGTACAGGAGGCAGATAAAGACTATGGGATGATTAAAAATGAAAAGCACAGCCAGTTCCTGTGTTATTAAGACTATGAAGGGTGGGAAGCAGTTCTCAACTCCTTCAAGGGGTCACACAGGTGTGAAATTTCACTCTTTGGGACAGATATGTTAATAAAACCAATCATATGGCCTGGCCTGGTCAAACTAGTCCTGCGGCCACATTGGATCTTTCTAGAGGTCAAGAACTGGTGTTATACTTTATTGTGAAAGATTCCTCAGAAGGAAAAGGCTCAAGAGGACAGACAGCAGGAGCGAGAAGAACTACAATCCTGCAGCCTATGGAACGAAAACCACATTCACAGAAAGATAGACAAAATGAAAAGACAAAGGACTGTGTTCCAGATGAAGGAACAAGATAAAACCCCAGAAGAACAACTAAATGAAGTGGAGATAGGCAATCTTCCAGAAAAAGAATTTAGAATAATGATAGTGAAGATAATCCAGGACCTTGGAAAAAGAATGGAGGCAAAGATCGAGAAGATGCAAGAAATGTTTAACAAAGACCTAGAAGAATTAAAGAACAAACACCAAGAAGAATTAAAGAACAAACAAACAGAGATGAACAATACAATAACTGAAATGAAAAATACCCTAGAAGGAATCAATAGCAGAATAACTGAGGCAGAAGAATGGATAAGTGACTGGGAAGACAGAATGGTGGAATTCACTGCCATGGAACAGAATTAAAAAAAAAAAGGAAATGAAGACAGTCTAAGAGACCTCTCAGACAACATTAAACGAAACAACATTTGCATTATAGGGGTCCCAGAGGAGAATAGAGAGAGAAAGGACCAGAGAAAATCTTTGAAGAGATTATAGTTGAAAACTTCCGTAAAATGGGAAAGGAAATAGCCACCCAAGTCCAGGAAGTGCAGAGAGTCCCAGGCAGGATAAACCCAAGGAGAAACATGCCGAGACACATAGTAATCAAATTGACAAAAAATAAAGACTTAAGAAAAATTATTAAAAACAACAAGGGAAAAACGACAAATAACATACAAGGGAACTCCCATAAGGTTAACAGCAGAAATTCTACAAGCCAGAGATAGTGGCACGATATATTTAAGGTGATGAAAGGGAAGAACCTACAGCCAAGATTACTCTACCCAGCAAGGGTCTCATTCAGATTCGTTGGAGAAATCAAAAGCTTTACAGACAAGCAAAAGCTAAAAGAATTCAGCACCACCAAACTAGGCTCTACAACAAATGCTAAGGGAACTACTCTAAGTGGGAAACACAGAAAAGAAAAGGATCTACAGAAACAAGCCCAAAACAATTAAGAAAATGGTCATAGGAACATACATATAGATAATTACCTTAAACGTGAATGGATTAAATGCTCCAACAAAAAGACACAGACTCTCTGAATGGATACAAAAACAAGACCCATATATATGCTGTCTACAAAAGACCCACTTCAGACCTAGGGACACATACAGATTGAAAGTGAGGGGATGGAAAAAGATATTCCATGCAAATGGAAATCAAAAGAAAGCTGGAGTAGCCATACTCGTATCAGGTAAAATAGACTTTAAAATAAAGAATGTTACAAGAGACAAGGAAGGACACTACATAATGATCAAGGGATCAATCCAAGAAGAAGTTTTAACAATTATAAATATATATGCACCCAACATAGGAGCACCTCAACACATAAGACAAATGCTAAGAGCCATAATAGAGGAAATCAACACTAACACAATAATAGTGGGGGACTTTAACACCTCACTTACACCAATGGACAGATCATCCAAACAGAAAATTAATAAGTAAACACAAGCTTTAAGTGACACAGTGGACCAGGTAGATTTAATTGATATTTATAGGACATTCCATCCGAAAACAGCAGATTACACTTTCTTCTCAAGTGCACATGGAACATTCTCTGGAATAGATCACATCTTGGGTCACAAATCAAGCCTTGGTAAATTTAAGAAAACTGAAATCATATCAAGCATATTTTCCGACCACAACGCTATGAGATTAGGAATCAATTACAGGGAAAAAACCATAAAAAAACACAAACACATGGAGGCTAATTAATATGTTACTAAATAACCAAGAGATCACTGAAGAAATCAAAGAGGAAGTCAGAAAACACCTAGAGACAAATGACAACAAAGATATGATGATCCAAGACCTATGGGATGCAGCAAAAGCAGTTCTAAGAGGGAAGTTTATAGCAATACAAGCCTACCTGAAGAAACAAGAAAAATCTCAAAAAACGATCTAACCTTACACCTAAAGGAAATAGAGAAACAAGAACAAACAAAACCCAAAGTTAGTAGAAGGAAAGAAATCATAAAGATCAGAGCAGAAATAAATGAAATAGAAACCAAGAAAACAATAGCAAAGATCAATAAAACTAAAAGCTGGTTCTTTGAGAAGATAAACAAAATTGATAAACCATTAGCCAGACTCATCAAGAAAAAGAGGGAGAGGACTTAAATCAATAAAATTAGAAATGAAAAAGAAGTTACAACAGACACCGCAGAAGTACAAAGCATCCTAAGAGATTACTACAAGCAACTCTATGCCAATAAAATGGACAACCTGGAAGAAATGGCAAATTCTTAGAAAAGTATAACCTTCCAAGACTGAACCAGGAAGAAGTAGAAACTATGAACAGACTGATCACAAGTAATGAAAGTGAAACTGTGATTAAAAATCTTCCGACAGGGCTTCCCTGGTGGCGCAGTGGTTGAGAATCTGCCTGCTAATGCAGGGGACACGGGTTTGAGCCCTGGTCTGGGAGGATCCCACATGCCACGGAGGAACTAGGCCTGTGAGCCACAACTACTGAGCCTGCGCATCTGTAGCCTGTGCTCCACAACAAGAGAGTCCGCGATAGTGAGAGGCCCATGCACCGCGATGAAGAGTGGCCCCCGCTCGCCACAACTAGAGAAAGCCCTCGCACAGAAATGAAGACCCAACACAGCAAAAATAAGTAAATTAATTAATAAACTCCTACCCCCAACATCTTCTTAAAAAAAAAAATAATAATCTTCCAACAAACAGAAGTCCAGGACCAGGTGGTTTCACAGGCGCGAAGAGCTAACACCTGTCCTTCTCAAACTTTCAAAAAATTGCAGAGGAAGGAACACTCCTAAACTCATTCTATGAGGCCACCATCACCCTGATACCAAAACCAGACAAAGATACTACAAAAAAAAGAAAATTACAGGCCAATATCACTGATGAATATAGATGCAAAAACCCTCAACAAAATACTACCAAACAGATTCCAGCAACACATTAAAAGGATCATACACCATGATCAAGTGGGATTTATCCCAGTGATGCAAGGATTCTTCAATATATGCAAGTCAATCAATGTGATACACCATATTAACAAATTGAAGAACAAAAACTATATGATCATCTCAATAGATGCAGAAAAAGCTTTTGACAAAATTCAACACCATTTATGATAAAAACTCTCCAGAAAGTGGGAATAGAGGGAACCTACCTCAACATAGTAAAGGCCATATACGACAGACCCACAGCAAACATCATTCTCAATGGTGAAAAACTGAAAGCATTTCCTCTAAGATCAGGAAGAAGACAAGGATGTCCACTCTCACCACTATTATTCAACAAAGTTTTGGAAGTCCTAGCCACGGCAATCAGAGAAGAAAAAGAAATAAAATAATATAAATTGGAAAAGAAATAAAACTGTCACTGTTTGCAGATGACATGATACTATTCATAGATAACCCTAAAGATGTTACCGGAAAACTACTAGAGCTAATCAATGAATTTGGTAAAGCTGCAGGATACAAAATTAATGCACAGATATCTCTTGCATTCCTGTACACTAACAATGAAAGATATGAAAGAGAAATTAAGGAAACAATCCCATTCACCATGGCAACAAAAAAATAAAATACCTAGGAATAAACCTAG